GGGATTTTCCCACCTGCTTCACAGTGGGAACCCACAAGCAGCCCCTGCAAAGGGGCAAGATCAGAAGCTGAATTTCCAGTCCCTGCCTGGATCCGGCCTGGGCAAGCTGCTGCTCTCTGTCAGTGGACACAGGAATGGTTGGGATGGCCTGAGATACTCAGTGCCCACCATGCCTTGCTGGGGCCACAGCTGGACAATAAGAGAAATGATTGAGTTGGACCAGCTGCTAGTGATGGGTCAAGGACCTGGCCCTGTGCTGTCTTAGAGTTCTGCCTTGGGACGTGATCCTGTAGGCTGCTGTTTTTTCTTGGTCCCCACCAGGGCAGCTGGAAGCCCACAGGCCATAGTCCATCAGGGAGTTGTCCTGTCTGTAAAGGACACACGATGGAACTCACCTTGTGTAGGGCTGGGGATGCCTAGCCCCCAAACCCAGAGAGGTTGGAAATATCAGTCTGTTAAAATGGTCAGAGCCAAGCAGGTTTGGGAGTTAAAACCAGAGGCTTTTGCAGCTGGAATGGGGTTCAGAGAACATCTGCTCCACCAGTTCTCCTTTTTATACATAAGGAAACAGGTCCAGGAGGTTAAGTGACTTGGCCAAAGTCACAAAGCAGGTTGGTGCCAGAGCTGGGGCTGACCTCATCCCTGTGGGTTAGGCAATCCTGTTTAGTCCTAAAGCTGAGGGGCGGGTCAGGGTTCAGGCTCGAAGAGTTAGGAAGGCCTCCAGCAGTGTCTGAGCAGCTGGTACTTTGGGGGGTGTGTCAGGGATGGGGATAGGTACCTGGGCTTGGGTTGTGGAGCATCTGAGAGAGGGTCCAGGAGGGCTCGGGACAGCCGTGTGCTGCTTGGGGTTGGGTGTCTGCCTGGCTTGCACTCAGTACCCATGGCCATCTCCCCATTTTCTGTGCCTTATCTCACTGTTTCAGCTGAGTCCAAGTTGTTTACTCTGTTCCTCTCCAGAGGGGTGTTCTGTCCCAGTTGGACAGCTTACCTTTGGGACATAAGCCTTTGCCCCACAAGCCGTGGAGAGGACCAAAACCAAGCTGCTTGAGCCCACTGTCTTGCTGATAGTCCAGGCCTGCCTGCCAGCCAGAGGAGCCCCTTATGCACACCCAGTCTTACCAGCCTACTTCCAGGAGCCAAGAGTGGGGAAAGCACCTGGGAGGAGACCTGGTGAAAAACTGGACTTGACCCAAAGGGTCAGGAGGAAGAGCCCTGTTGGGTTGTCCAGCCCCGGGGAAGCACCGTCCTTACTTACCTTGTCCCCCCGTGCCACCAAATGATTGCTCCTTCCAGAGTGGAAGGAAATTGGCAGATCACACAAAGAAAGGCAGAACCGCGATATTCACCCATATGGGTCTGTGGCTGGATGCAGGCCTTCAAAAAGGGGACACCAAGAGATGGAGAAGCAGGCTGCTCGGCCACTCAGCACCTTCCTACCCCTTAAGCAAGCACAAAGAAGATGAGGCAGAGAACTGTCAAGAGCTGAAAGTTCCTATGGTTGCTCACAACTCAGGTATGCACACTGTGTGGCAGCTGGGCAGCAGAGCCCTACTTGACCACCAGTCCTGTGCACCCGGACCTGTGGCCAGATTGTGGACTCTGGCTGCCTGAGGCGCCACCTTTTTGCATAGGGTTTTCCTCCATTAGTAACTACAGCTGACACAGACATCCTCCACATTGTGCACACTGGTTCTGCCTTTGTCCTCGCAAGTTGATACTTGGCATTAGCATGAAACTCGTGGGTGTGGGAGGGTTTAGAGAGAATTCTAACACAAAACATCCTATTAAATTGTACTTGAGAGATGAAAAACTCCTGTTGTATTTTGACAGAATTATTTTTATTAAAATACACATCATGAGCAGTCACGAGTATTTGGTCTCTGTTTTAGTCTTACTGGGGTTGGCACGCCTTGTGCGGCACACAGTGTCCTGGAGGGTGTCACCTCTTCTCAGCCCACCTCACAGGTGCCTAGGCCCCTGGTGCCTTTAAGGTCTCTCAAGACTTCGGGTGTTTTCAGCACCCCAAAGAGGATGGGAACTTAAGCTTCAGTTCTATCCCTTGAAATAGCTTCTATCTGAGACAAAGAAAAAGCAAATTCAGCTTCAAAAAGTTGAGCCACAGCACCTTCTACCCTCAAAATAAGATTTTAAAACATCATCAGTAACATTCACCCCAAACACTAGATAGTAAAAAAGAGATTTTCTGAGGGGTATTGAGATTAGTTTCCTGTCATCCTGAGGAGAGACCTCGTGCTCAAAATCCTAGTTGTTTACTAACTGGGTAACCCTGGAAAATTAACCTTCCTTTTCAGTTTTTCCATCCTTAAAATGTGGTCAGTTCTTCTACCCCATGGTGGTATAAGAAGATTCTAGCTGCATAGGGCAGCGTTTGGCACAGGGATGCGGTACAGGTGACCACTCAGCCTCCATGAGGATGATCCTTGGTGTGACTGGTCTGCTCTTGTCTCATTCTGCCTCCCCTACCCCCAGAGTATCAGGGTTTGATGCAAAGGAGGGATACAGAAGCTTTTGCCACTGTTCACCTGGAGGTGGGACTGGAAACATTGGCGGCGAAGAAATCAGCTATGAGGCTAGTGCAGCAGGCCAGACACGAGAGGACAGGTTTGAGAAATATTTAGGAGATGTGTGAGCACAACAGGATGAGGGACTAGATGTAGGGGAGATGGGATGAGCAAGAGACCAAGCAAATGCAGGCTTTTGGTTGGGGGAAAGGGATGGATAAAATAGTGAAGGGAACAAGTAGTGGCTAAAAGTCACTGGAGTGGGGGAGGTTTGCTGAAGAGCAAGTGGATCCACGTCTCAGAGAGACGTTCCTGGAACTGGAAAAGGGTTCTGTGGTCCGGTATGTAAGGAAAGCTGTTGTGGATGGTCACAATGAACCTCATCAGCTAATTAAAAGCTCTAAAAACCCTACGGTAAGACGTGCAGCTTAACCCCGCCCTTTCCAAACTTCCTTTACTATGGAATGCTTCTCCTGGGCATTTTACAGGACTACTATTCTACAGAAGTCTCAGGGAAAAGCTAATGTAGAGGGAAGAGCGAAGTACTAGCTAAGCACAAATATCCTAGATTCCATCAGTAAAGCCAGAATAATTTCCCTCTAGACGAGTCATTCCCAACCTGGACCAATTTTGCCCGCCCCCTCCCCGCCCCCCAGGGACATTGGCGATGTCTGGATTTATTTTTCTTAGTCACAGCTGGGGTTGGGTGCTACTGATACCTAGTGGGTAGCATTCAAGAATGCCGCTAAATATTCTAATGCACAGACAGTCCCCACAACAGAATTATCAGGCCCAAAAACATCAATACTGTTAAGAAACTGCTCTAGAATGTTTTGAACAATGACTAAGACAAACAGATCAAACATAAGCACACTTTGATTTTGCCTCCTTTGTGCCTGGCTGTTGAGAATCCAGGGGAAGGAATAGAGAATAAAATCCCATCAGAAAGGAGGGCTCTGACGTTACAATTTTTCATCACTCCGGAAGCCTTCCGTGCTTCTGTGTCATTAAGATGACAGCGGTGATGAGAAGTTAAGTCTCCTCCCAAAGCAGGGATAGCCCTGCTGGTTAGCTTGTCTCAGTGGAAACTGCCTCATCTCAACTGACATGTTCTATCATTACAGGCTGCACTGGAAAGAGGGCTAGTTGAGTGAGAGGGGGAAGCGATTCAGACTTACCAGGAGAGTCAGACAATAGTGGGGGCTCCCCATGCAGAAGTAACCCCCTAATCCCACATTTTCAACATAGTCTTTTACACTAAGGTCTACAGGTCTACAGATCTTTACACTAAGGTCTTTCATTACTGTAGCGGATTTGGTGAATTAAGAGTAGTCATTAGACAATGTTATGGGGGTGGGGGGAGGTGTATAGGCTCCAGTAAAGAGGTCATGGGGACTGAGGTCACAGTCCTGAAGAGTATTAACACCAAAGGAACAACTAAAGAACATCTAGGAAGCCGTGACGTTGGGGGAGCCGGTTCAAAAAGACTGCCATTCTGCTAAGATACTATCCTTGCCGTTCTGTTAGATCATGTCCAACAGCAGCCCTTTCTTCATTCCTGGGCAACCAAGAACCACCATAGTTCCTAGAACCTCCTTTCTTTCTTCCTTTATTTTCCTTTTCCTTCCTCCCTCCCTTCCTTCCTTCGAAGGCAGAGAGAGAAACATCGATTTGTTATTCCACTTATTGATGCATTCACTGGCTGATTCGCGTATGTGCCCTGACTCCGGGTGAAACCTGCAACCTTCGTGCATCCAGAGGACGCTCCAACCAGCCCAGTTACTTGGCCAGGGCGGAACATCCTTGCTCTTGACGAGGGCGGCGAACTAGAAAGGATCCCAGGCTGTAACACAGACGGCTCAATACCTCCACCACCGGAAATGAATGACCGGGGACTCCAGCCAGGCTATTTCGCCTCCTCCTTCCACCCCCCAAACCCCGCCAAACAAGCGAGCATGCGCAGCTACAGGTCAGGGCTCCTCCCAGCGCGCTTCCACCCCGTCAGGGAGCATGCGCAGGTCTTCCGCCAACCCACCCCCTCCCTTCCCGGAGCCCCCGGTTCCTTAGAAACCAGGCGGCGCGTTCTGGTAGCAGAGAGCGAGACTCCCCGGGTCGGTGAGTTCCTGCCCTCCTCCTTCACGGGGCTTTGGTGTCCGCTGATACCGTCCGGACCCAAGGTCTCCTGTGCGGAGCGGGGCGGGTGATGCCAGAGTGCCAGGTGAGAGGCGGCCTGCGGCAGCGGGTGCGGATGGAGGAGGGCATGGCGCGGCTGTGAGCGGGCGTCGCCCGGGCCTCTAATGCGGCCCGGCGTCGGGGGTCGGAGGCAGAGTATGGGCTGGAGGCGGCCGTTTTAACGGCGAGCACCGGCGCGGAATTCGAGGGTCGCCTCCGGAGTTCGCCCTCCCCACCTCAGAAAGAGGACCTGCAAGTTTGGTCGTAAAATTTCGGCTCCGGAGGGACCTCGGCCCTAACCCCATCCCTTTACTGGACTGGGAAACCTAGGCTTCCCCGCCCTGTGCAGAGTAGAGCCACCTACCTGTGTGAGGACTGACGCTTTGTGGATAAGTATGTGAGGTATGGAAGCCTCAGACAAAGGGCTCTTGAAGGTAGCTGGTCCATCCTCTTTCAGAGTTAGATGGGACTTTTAGTAGGGGTAAATCTTTATTTAAGAAAAGAGTGTTTAGGGGGCAGGTGGAAGAAGGGACACCGCAGGGGGTGCGGATGGCTCTGCTAGCCCCAGAGTGCCCAGTGGCCTTGTCTCAAGGGCCCTGGCCTACCTTTGAAACTCAGGAAGGAAGCAGATGGACCTACGGAGACAAAGGTGAGGTAAGGTATTCCCATCAAGGAGGCATTGTGACGTGAATGGTGAGGAAGGAAGAGAGGGCGGAGAGATCGGGACTTAGGAATGATCATGGGAAGTTTACCTCCCAAACTACTGTGAATCTGAAGAACTGAACAGGAAAAGTTTAAAGCTGCCTTGGATACCAAGTAAGCTTATAAGCCATCTTGTTTTGTTCTTTGTCCCCATTGTGTCACGTTAAGGGCAAGACACTGGAAAAAAGTGGGTGTCCAGAACCAGGGCCATGCAACACCCAGCGGACCTTTTTAAGCTTTGGGCACAAAGGTCTCAGAAGGAGGAGCCCTAGTGTATGACCCTTCATTTGAAGGGAACAACTGTTAGAAAAGACACTTAACGTGTTATTGTGATATGAAGAGTTATGGGGATGGTTTTATTTAAGAGTTCAGGGAAGCTAGATTCATTCTTCATATGAGTTTCAGAAGAAACTCATTTTCTTCTGAAAAGCTACACCAGGGAACAAAAGTTATATGGCTGTACACTTTACAAAAAATGTGAAAAAATTACTGCCTTTGGACTAGGAGTTCAGAGAATGTCTGGACCAAGAGGTGAAAATTTTCAGCAGATAGTTCTGTTGGCAGAGTCCCCATTTTACAGATAAACATTCAGTTGTGAGAGGCTTTTTCTTACCACCTGGTTGCCCTACTTTTCCTGTGGAACGATTGCTCTGGGTCTGATCAGTTATTATTTTTATTTCCTTGGAAAATTCAGATATAAGATTTCTATAGTAATACTAGAACACACTAGTAGTAGGATTAGCAGTGAAAAAAAGCCTCCCCCCCCAATAAAGAAACTAAAAGATTTGTAATATGTGGGAAGGGAATGTACAGTTTTTAACAGATGGTTACTGGTTCTAGTCATTAAAGTAAATTTATTGCTAGCTTGATAAAACTAATCTTCAGTGTATATTCAGCTTTGCAGCATTTTTTTTCACTCCCAGAGTGATAAGAGAAGATACATTGAATGTATGATAGTGTTAGTAGGTGATATTAGTTTAAAGAATGCTTTAGGTTCACCAATCAGTGCCTGACCATGACTATGGATAATGTGGCTGTGAATTTATTTTAATTAAAATATAGCAAATATGCAGTATTATATTAGTTTCAGGTATACAACATAGCTATTAACATTGTACAGTTATGCATTTTATTGACTTTCTTGCATCAAGAGAAATATGGGGTATTATCAGAAGGGTATGTAATCTGTGGGTGACATTCACTGTTAACCAAATCCTGTCAGAAAAGTTTCGTGAAAGTCATTGTGTTCTGTGTAGAAATCCTCATGAATGTATCGTTAGCCCAGAGAGCAGACAGACGAGTAGGCCAAAATCAAGGTAAGATTGACAGGGAGCAAATCAGTTACCATCTGCAGAACTGGATGGGATGTGGGAGCGTACTTTTAATATAAGTGCAGATATATGGGTGGTTTTTTTTTAAGATTGTATCTATTTATTTTTAGAGAGAGGGAAAGGGAGGAAGAAAGAGAGAGAAAAACCTGAATGTGCAAGAGGTATGTTGTCCAGTTACCTCTCACATGCCCCCAAGAGGGGACCGGGCCTGCAACCCAGGTGTGTGCCCTGACTGGAATCAAACCTATGACCTCTGGGTGTGCAGACCGGCACCACACCACTGAGCCACATGAGCCAGGGCAGATACATTATTGAATGAGCAGTTGTGAAAGATACTGTTTAAATGTGGTGAGTGTGCCACATGGATTTGTGTGCATTTTTTGAGTTCCAGTAATCAGAAAGACATTTGTTTTCAGAGGAGAAAGATGGACTTAGAGACACTGAAAGTGTTGCTTCGTTGCTATGGCAGTGAAACCTTTGACAAATAATTACTTAACATCTACTCTCTTTTCTGGGGCAGCTGAGAGCAGTTATCAAATCTGGCCTGTAATAAAGCAATCAACAGTATTTAATAGGCAAAGGTACCAGATAAACCAGTAATGCTAACAGGATTTATTTTCACTGAACTGATTTGATTTTCTAGTTACACAGTAAGAGGAAAAATGAAATGGAAATGTAGTGCTATCTGGTGTAAGAAGTTGTAATACAAACATTAGTGTTTAGAAAATAGAGGAATCAAACAGAGGCAGCCTTAGAGAAGAGCCTTTCTGATGTCTGATGTCACTTATGCATATTTTTGGAAGGTCCAGTTCTAGAATAAATCCACCATTGGAATTGGATAGCATTTAGGAAAAAACTGGAGAGTTTGCTCTTTTTGAGAATTTGTATACAGTATAGTAATGGCTTTTTTTTTTTAAGATTTTATTTATTCACTCTTAGAGAGAGGGGAAGGGAGGGAGAGAAACTGATGTGTGAGATGCTTCGATTGATTGCCTCTCACATGGCCCCTACTGGGGAGGGGACCTGGCCAGCAACCCAGGCGTGTGCCCTGACTAGGAATGAAATAGGTGACCTTGCAGTGTGCAGGCTGGCGATCTGCATTCAGTCCGCTAAGCCACACCAGCCAGGGCTAGTTTTGTTACATACAAGAGTAGCAGCTTTGTATTAGAAAATTTTAAGAGAGTCTAAAAGTCCAATTACTTGCAAATTTAGGTATCAGGTGTTTTAAAAAGTGAGAAATGAAGGGTACTTGAAATAGGCTTGGACTCATGAAAGTGAGAATCAGTGTGTGTTACTTACTCCTGAGTTGGCTCTGACTTCTGGCGACTCTATGAATGAATGATGTCCACAATGTCCAGTCCTCAGCAGCCCTGCTCAGCAGCCCTGCACAGGATTCATGCCTGTGGCTTCCTTTTTGGAGTTGATCCATCTCATACTTGGTCTCCTCTTTTCCTGCTATCCTTTATTTTTCCCAGCATTATTGTCTTTTCCAAAGAACCCTGCCTTCTCATGATGTGCCTGGACGTAGGACAGCTTCAGGTTTTGTCATTTTGCCTCCAAGGATGATGTTTACATGATACTGAGAAAAACATGAAAGCAGTAAGACTTTCCTACACACTCTAACACTCACTTATGACTTAACCATTAGTTGAGGAATGAGTGAAATAAAGTCTCTACACTCTCTCTCTACACTGAGACAAAGGAAATGAGGAATGAAGTAACTTTCTATTTCATGGTTATGGAAATGATCACTTAGAAAATAGGCATTAAACATTAAGAAGGAAGAGATGAATAGTCCTGCGTTACTTAAATACACTCTAAATCTATCTTAAATACTTGTTCTTCAGTCCCTGCTCTTAGAAGAGGTGTAGCAAGTAGTGCTTTTATCCTAGGTATTGTCAGTTCTCTAGGTAGCCGGTAACAAAATGCCACACTTTCTAGGGCCCAGAATAGCTAGGAATTGTTGGGGAAATGGTCATTCTCCCCCAATCCCTCCAAGCCATTCCCAAAAGCTTCTTCTGTAAGGGTTTCTATTCATCTTTTAGAAGGATTACAAATGAAGGCTGTGAAGAATGGGAACAGAGTACTGAGTCTGCCTTTCTGGCCTGGGATAACTGTGCTACTCTCAAACTGTCAGCTCTCAATTTTTCAATAGACTAGATAACCCCAAAGTAGAACCACAAACACTCCTACTTGGCTTTGAGATTTACCATATCACTGTACAACCTCAAAGTCTTTATTATTTACTTTTATAATGATATTTCACTTAAAATGATAACGTTAGGCAAATCGTGTAACTTCTGGACCATAATTTTTAAAACAATTTGTAAAGTTTAAAACAAAACAAATTGAAAATGACATAAATGTCTAACAAGAGAAATGCAAAGCTGATTCATGTAGTCAGTGGAATATCAAGTAACCCTTAAAAACTGTCTGATAAAATGAAAAATGCTTATGTCTAAACAGTTAAGTGAAAAAAATCTCAGGATACAAAGTTGTGAATATATACTTGACCACAAGGTACATTGAACAAGCATAAAAACTTAGCAAAAAAGAACATACCATATTTTGCTGTGTATAATGTGCACTTTTGGTACAAATTTTTAAGGGGACAATAAGGATGTGCATTATACATGGGTATAAAGATTACATACCATGGACATAATAATGGGTATAATAATCCCGTGTATAATGCGCACCAAAAACCGTGGATGCGCATTATACATGGCAAAATATGGTAATGGGGAAGGAAAAAAAAAGGCCCTGGCCAGTGTGGCTCAGTTGGAGCTTTGTCCTATGAACTAAAAGGTTGCAGGTTCAATTCCCAGTCAGGGCATGTGCCTAGGTTGCAGGTTTGGTCCCTGTTTGGGTTGCATCAAGAGGCAACCAGTTGATGTTTCTCACGTCAATGTTTTTTCTCCTCTCCCTCCCTCTCTCTCTTCTCTCTATTCCAAAAAAAAAAAAAAATCAGTAAGCATGCCTTCCAGTGAGGATTAAAAAAAAAAAAAACATAAGAACACAGTAATTTTCCAAAATAAATATATATTTTTTAAAATGGGATGTTAACTAGGTTTATTGTGGCAGTTACTTTGCCATATATACAAATATTGAAATATTGAATCATTATGTTATATACCTGAAACTAATGTTCATTATATCTCAAAATATTAAAATAATTTTTGAAATGTATTTCCCTCTTCCAAGACAAACAACCAACACCCCCGCCACCCCCCGCCCAAAAGTTTCTTTGTGCTAGTGTAAAGGATGATGTGGAACTTGTTTTCTCTCTTCTGGCCTTCACCTCTTCTGGCTTTATGGATTGTATTAAAAGTGAGGGGTTGGGAGAACAATGGCAGGGTCTGGGCAGCACTGACATTTCTTCCTGTCTCAGGTGTCAGTGAACCAAATGGTAATATGGTTACCTACGTAATGAATTTAAATGTGTATAATTGAAAGATGACTTACAGATCTTGTGCTGTTTTCTAAAACTGATTTCTTAGGTGTTTGTTGATAGATAGTTTTCACCCTTATGGTCCCTTGGGAGTTTGTTGAGTGGCTTTGTGTAATACAGTGTCCCAAAGCATATTATAGGAAATTTCATGTGGTTAATGGTTTCTGCAGCCCAGTGGTGATTCTCACCAGGAAATGGTTTTAGTCTCAGAGGAAACTCTCTGGGGGTAGCTCTGGGAGCATGTGAGATGGTGTGTTTGTCATGCCAGGCATCCTCCGATTGTCCAGGAGTTGGGGGATGGTAGAGAGATCAGCTGTACCTCCTGTTACTTT